AAGACCCTTAAATGTAAAGTAAATTCTTTCAATAAAATGATTTAACGAACAATGGATGACCTTTTCTTTATATCCTTTCCCAAGATCCTAACTTTAAGTTTCAGTATTTCTTCCTAGAACAGTGAACATCAACACACACACAGTCACATTAACTGAGATTTATTTTTTGAAAAACACTCTAATAAAATGTCATATGTACAATATGAACAGACATGTTTGCCCAAACAGCCACACAGCAGCAGGCTACAGCTTTTCCACCATCCTCTCGAAGAGACTTAAAAAGCGCAAAGTCTTCTCCTCTGACTCCTCGTGTCTTCTCTGTTCCTTGTCCGACTCTGCTTGGAGAAAGTCCAAAATCCTCTGGCTATCTGTCCTCTTCCTTTTTCTGGGGGTAGGGGTGTTATGGCGAGAGGATGAAGAGGACGGGGTTGGTGAAGAGGGAGGATTGTTTGAGGATGGAGCTGGAGAAGCAGACCGGGTCGATGGTGCAGAGGAGGCAGAGCCCAACTGAGTATCCTCACTGGGGGTCTCGTCAGGATTGACAGTGGCCTGTTGGAGACAAATTATTGTCACGTCATGGCAAATAAAGTTATTAACTGCACAGCTACAAGCACTGACATAGCAGTGTGTACACATCACAAATTACACATGCCACTCGGTCTACAGCACGTGGAGAGTGCAGCGTCCCAAAATGTTCTGGACTCACTCCCAACTGAGATCATCACCTGCACTGAACTAAAAGTATTCACATGCAGTACAAAAACATGTCTATTGGAAAGGCAACTCTGTTTCCATGTGTGACGTGTCTGTGTGAATTCAGTGCAGAAATGTCTTTATAATAAGTGAATAATGGGGCTGGCCAGTGTTTTTTATTTAACTTGTGGTAAATGAAATGGAAATTTTGGTCTGATAATTCCTCCAATTACTTACATTTTACTGTTTGACAACAACCTGCTCAGGGACTAGTGGTTCAATGCATCTTTCCTTTGGGTTAATGTTTATTGTACACCGCCCCTATAAAAATATTCCCTTGTTTCTTACCATTAGCAAAGCTGTAGGGTCTTCAGCTGGCCTGAAAGACGCCACAACAACAGGGGGATCCACAGCAGGCCTTCCCCCCAAGACTGCGTGAAGCACAGCGTAATACGGCCAGTTTGAAGCGGTCTTCTCCCTGCTATCTGTGCCTGAGCCAGTCTTTGGGTCCCTTAGGTCCTACACACACACACAGCAAAGTGAGTTGAGGTTACAGGATTAACCAGACAGATATATTTGCAGATAATTACCTTGTAGCGCTTCTTCAGGTTCTCCCACTTCTGACCTGCTTGTGGGTCACTTTCCCCTCCAGGCCCAGCTCTTTCACTGCTTGCCTGTGAACATACAGTGAGGTATAGGCATTCAGCTGTGTTCAATAGCATTATTATTAAGAATAGAAGTTTCACTTACTGCCACAGACTTTTTGTCTGAAATTTTGTTTTCAGAAAATTGGCTTCATTCGCAGCTCTGTAATTTATGAGAGCAAAGGTTTTCTCCGTGGTCCCTGGGGGAAAAACAGCGTTGGTCAATTGTTCAGTTCCACTACTACTGCAAGCTGTTTGCGCAGATTTGCAAACACACAACCAACGTTAATGGTGAAGACAAACGCTTACCTATGTTTATGAATTCAATGCACACCATGCCATGCACATGCACACGTACGAAACAGCGAGCCAACACCGGCATTCTACATTGTAGAACAAATTGCGTACCCACATAATTCTGACACGTTTCATAGCTTTTAGAGTGCATGTTTGTGTGAAATTGTACTTACATTTGTAGCTTTCGCTCCCGAGAGTCGGCGCCATGTTCATTTGGAAAAACTGGTTTGCCGAGTTCGCAATGCATCATGGGATCACCCTCGCTCGCAAGTGAGCTCCCGACCTCACTTGCGCTCAAGGGTGGTTTTTAGGGCAGTGAAGACCCTCGCCTCGTCTCCCTAAGTATTGGGACACCCTTGCACTCGCGCGGGCACGCGCAAACGCTAGGGCAAGTGTGCTTTTTAAGGGCAAGGGCGAGAATTGGGACGGGGCATTAGACTGTTCTGAGAGATGAGGGAGTCATTTAGACTGTTCTGAGAGATGAGAGTCATTTAGACAGTTCTGAGAGATGAGGGAGTAATTTAGACTGTTCTGAGAGATGAGGGAGTCATTTATGTATCGTCCATACGAGGCCGGCGTTTTGGGGGGGTGTAAACGAACATTTTTGAAACTAGGTCCCAGAGTGGAAAGATTTCAAAACTCCGTATATGCCGCTCCGTGGTTACTGCCTCTCCGCAATGTATCTGAGACGCTTGCGTCATCGCCCCGCCTCTTGTTAAAGCAGCATGCGCCGCACTCAGAAAATAATGACAACAACAATGTAGCTTGTTGGTTTTGTAATCCAGTGCGACCCGAAGCAACAGTTCAACCTCATCGTCCGTCCATACTAATGTAGTACCAGCTCGCCCACTCGCCATGTTGTCTGTTTACAAAATTCCGCGCATGCCCACGGAAGTTTGGGCTTGATCCCGTCATTGCGTCACAGCGCCACCAACAGGTCTGGCATAGTTTCACAGCGTTTTCAGGCGTATTGACTACATTCATATGGACGCACACATTTACTGAGCTAACTCCGTGTTTACAGAAAAAGTTTCTGAAATTATAAGCGTTTTGTCTTCGTGTGGATATAGCCTTAGACTGTTCTGAGAGATGAGAGTCATTTAAACTGTTCTGAGAGATGAGAGTCATTTAGACTGTTCTGAGAGATGAGGGTCATTTAGACTGTTCTGAGAGATGAGGGTCATTTAGACTGTTCTGAGAGATGAGGGAGTCATTTAGACTGTTCTGAGAGATGAGGGAGTCATTTAGACTGTTCTGAGAGATGAGAGAGTCATTTAGACTGTTCTGAGAGATGAGGGAGTCATTTAGACTGTTCTGAGAGATGAGAGTCATTTAGACTGTTCTGAGAGATGAGGGTCATTTAGACTGTTCTGAGAGATGAGAGAGTCATTTAGACTGTTCTGAGAGATGAGAGTCATTTAGACTGTTCTGAGAGATGAGAATCATTTAGACTGTTCTGAGAGATGAGAATCATTTAGACTGTTCTGAGAGATTGGGTCTTGAAATGTAAAAGACATGAGAAGCTTAAACAGGACAAACTGTTACTATTGCCTTTGATAATTTACAGTTTCTTATAGAATGGTATATTTTTAATAGATATAACATGTATTATATCGTTTATAACTTTGGTTTCATAGACGTCTCCATCTGATTATATTGTTGTATTCCTCACAGCAGTGGCGGCTGGTGGAATTTTCTACTGGGGGGGCTATGAATATGATGACTAGATATATACCAGCAGTAAGTAAGTTTACACTGACTGTTGTGACTGAAGCCTCACACGAGAATCGCAGGGCAAGTTCAAATGCACCACAGAATTTGACACAGTCTATTATTTTTGATAGGATGTGCCTATTCTTGTCAACCTCCTCATTGTGCTTTCTGATCCCTACCCTGTAGCTTTCATCCAGCTGGGATGAAATATTTATCTTCCCAAACATAGCTAATTTGAGGGCATTTTGCATGTGGATACCAGTCTGCTCATGCTTCTTTGCCTTTTCTAAAAAGTGCTTCAGATCAGTCATACCTGTCTTGATCCATGCTGGGTCAGATCCTGATGTTTGAAACAAGAGGCATGGAAAGCAAAATAAAGCATTAGCCTCGCTACATGCTGCTAGCCAAGATTTGGCGCTGAACCAGGTCCTGGACTGCTGACTAATGGTAATATTTGGCTGATCAGGTCCAAGCTCTTTAACCTCAACCTTCTCCTGGTATGATCTTCTCTCAAACGGTATTGTTTTGAGTGATCTAACTGAATTATTCTTTTTTTCGTTCTCCATTTTGCGTCTCTTTACGTTCGTCTCAAACTCCCACAGCTTGACCTGTCAATCACTGTAAACGGACGTCACAGACAGTGACAGTACAGGTCGCGGGCGATCCCGCCCCCTCAGGGCGCACTTCTCCTGCGCCCCCAAATCGTCTTATCTCTTGCATTGAAGAGGAGCTACTGCGCATGTCCAACTTTTAACGAGAGTCCATAGACGGCTCAGGGCGCAATCTTTTGCGCCCTGAGGCGGAAATACGTCCTCAGTTCCGACACAGACAACGCTGATGAGCTTAATCAATCCAACTCAGCATAAACTATAAAGTATTTCTTCCACATCTGAAATAAAACACACATACATTTCGAAATATTTTAATGTTATTATTTTTTTTAACGTTTTATTCAAGGTAACATGGCAAGTTGTGAGTGGTGGGGCGGCGCCCTAGCGCCCTCTATTGGCCGGCCGCCACTGCCTCACAGAATACTACTGTGACGGAGTCATTGCTCTCCCCCTGTCACTAATGCTCTGGTTGTGCGCGCACTCTGGCCATACTCCCCGGTGCGAGACGCGCGCTCCCGCGCAGAGTTTACACACCACAATTTAGCATGTTGTACTCACCGGTCCCGCTACGTAATCACAGGTCTCCACACATCCCCTCGTTTTCTCCCCTCCATAAACCACACGGTAGCAGCATCCATGGCTCGGTGCAGCTCGGGGTAGTGATGTGCTGAGCGGACCGAGTCTTCGAAGCGTGGACCGAGTAATCTGGGGGCGTTTCTTGTGAAGTGTGGGTCGAGGCGTGTATTGGTCACGTGTGTGGTGACGTTCGAAGCCTCGCGTAGCGGCCGCACCACGTGACGGTTCATATAGTGCTTCATATAGTTCGGAGAGTGCATTGCTTTGACAGGTGCTTTGTGATCCGCGGCTGTACCATACCCTGTATTGGCTGTCCCCGTCTGCCTCTGTGTGCGTACGTGTGTGCGTGTGTGCGTACGTGCGTGTGCGTACGTGTGTGCGTACGTGTGTGTGCGTACGTGTGTGTGCGTGATGTGGAGCAGTCCTGTACTAGTTTTGAAACTTGAATATAACCCCTCCTACTAATTTATGTAAACCGGGTCTGGAGCTGGAGCTGGGGTCTGGAGCTGGGGTCTGGAGCTGGAGCTGGGGTCTGGAGCTGGAGCTGGGGTCTGGAGCTGGAGCTCGGGTCTGGAGCTGGGGTCTGGAGCTGGGGTCTGGAGCTGGAGCTGGGGTCTGGAGCTGGAGCTCGGGTCTGGAGCTGGAGCTCGGGTCTGGAGCTGGTTTATGTGACATCATAATTCATGAATATTCATATATTGTGACGGGTCTTTATTAATACATAATTTAAATAAATAGTTCAATATAAAAAACAATATGCAGAGTATTTCAAATATGTTCCTATTATTAATCTATGTGCATTTATTATTATCATAGTAGTTGTTGTGGTAACACTTCTCAAAAAACCAATGGCCAGTCAAAAAAAACTGTTTCTCCAGTTTATTTCCCCAGTGCTATTTACAAACATGTGAAAAAACAATATATGTACATATTTACAAATGTACATAAGTTGTGTACATAACCTTTCAGAATGCCAGGATACCACAATAGCCTGATGTTGCCCTCTCTGCAACCAGGCAAAAGACTTCCTGTACAGCCCAAACAGCTCCCCTCTTATGCCCCAGGCCCCTCCCATGGGCGTTACAGAAAATAGTTAATATAATTTTACAAAACAACCCTTTCTGGTTGAAACTCCTCTCAAATTATCAATAGTATTATTTCAACATACCTCCCCTTTAATTCCCTTCCATGGATATGGGAGATATCATTAAACAAAGGAACATTAAACAAACAAAGCGTGAAAGCGCACGTAACCCCAGTATAAATGGCATAGCCAAAGATGCGCTCGGTTTGCCCGGTCACCTGGTACTACGTACGCGGTCACCTGGTACTACGTACGCGGAAGGAGGAGAGCATGAACAGGCGCGCGCGCGAACCCGGTGTGCACCCCGAGCTAGTGATGGCAATATGAAGCCCCATGAAGCCTTGAGGGATCGCAGCCTATTACTCGGCCCATGAGTCGAAGGCTCAAGGTGAATCATGCTCCACTACGCCATCATGTGGACAAAGAAATACATAACACTCTTAAGTGCTTACAATGAATGGTGAGATCTAATGTTAAAATGTATATTTAAAATCTATGGTCTAACGTGTTGTGTTTGAAATGATGCTTCATGAACCATGAACTATTTGAGTCTTTCAGTCAATTGTGTTGATACAACAAACACATCCAAAGTAATACAGTTCTACAGAAAGTGATTAATGGAGGAAAAACTACCAAGAGGTGGATTAATTAAACACAACAAACCATTTATTCCCAATAAATAAAGACATTTACTTTGCAACACAAAATGTATTATGGGTAGACCAGGATTCGAACGCTATATCTTCTGCTTCGGAGTCCGTCATATACGACTGCGCCACACAGCTGTTATGAAATGTATTATCCAGCGTATTATTACTAATAACTTGAAGCCTTGATATATGAGGTTTTACTAAAGTGAAACGTTTTTAATTGTATTTCATATGAAGTAGTTTCAGACCCCAGCTCCAGCTCCAGCTCCAGCTCCAGACCCCAGCTCCAGCTCCAGACCCCAGCTCCAGCTCCAGCTCCAGCTCCAGACCCCAGCTCCAGCTCCAGACCCCAGCTCCAGCTCCAGACCCCAGCTCCAGCCCAGACCCCAGCTCCAGCTCCAGACCCCAGCTCCAGCTCCAGCTCCAGCTCCAGCTCCAGCTCCAGCTCCAGCTCCAGACCCCAGCTCCAGACCCCAGCTCCAGCTCCAGCTCCAGCTCCAGCTCCAGACCCCAGCTCCAGACCCCAGCTCCAGCTCCAGCTCCAGCTCCAGACCCCAGCTCCAGCCCAGACCCCAGCTCCAGCTCCAGACCCCAGCTCCAGCTCCAGCTCCAGCTCCAGCTCCAGACCCCAGCTCCAGACCCCAGCTCCAGCTCCAGCTCCAGCTCCAGACCCCAGCTCCAGCTCCAGCTCCAGCTCCAGCTCCAGCTCCAGCTCCAGACCCCAGCTCCAGACCCCAGCTCCCCCAGCTCCAGACCCGGTTTACATAAATTAGTGGGAGGGGTTATATTCAAGTTTCAAAACTATTTTTAATTTGTTTCCCCCAATACGCTTCATAAAAGTCTGGTACAGACTGATAATGTGCTGCTGGAACTCTCACAATATCCTTCATTCCATTTCACCATTTTCACATTTTTCACAAATTCGATTTGAAGTCTATTAATTGCCTAAATTCGTTTTATTGCCCAGCCCTATTCTATTGTTATTATTTTTTTATGCAGCTCTTTGAAAACTATTCATGAAATGTGTTCTTTAAATGAAGTGGATTAAATTCTTACAAAACACCAAATGGTCAAAAATACGGTAAAAGGCACTTCCTAAACCTTTTCTTGCAGATGTTTTGATAAAATCTCGAGGACGAGAAGCTTCTAGAATCACATTATTGTTAAATGCAGTAAATCAATCCAAGTTTTGGTTGGATTTTGGTTGGATTGATTTACTGCATTGATTTAATCCAAGTTAATTTTATTTGTGAACACAGACTCATGTGGACTATGAAAGTTAGTCCACTGGTTTTAAATCCAGGCATGTTTCTTCAGAGTAAACCCGGACACGGTGTTCTCTTTTGGATGAGGGCCTGTGATGTCACGCATCAGGTAACAATTCCTGAAAGAAACAAGAGAAACATTGAGAGAGAACAGAAAGATCCCAGTGAGTCACTATTTGACACTTTGGGCTGAGCGAGTGTGGTCCTCTCTTTTCCACTTTTCTCTCTGAAAAAGCTGATCAAAAATGCTATGCTAACATGCTAGCTCAGTGAAGCTCAAGATGGAGGTGCTCATGAATCCATCTGCACTCTCTATGATCCTTGTGTTTATATTTTCTTGTTATATTGGATTTGTAAACCCAGACCTGAGCCATATTAGGGATGGACAATCAGATCTTAGTTTGTGGGGGAAACTCCAGCTAGCCTTAGCAACCGTCTGAGCTATCGGAACAAACGCCCATATAAGGAAATAGGAATAGGCTTCTTACGCTAAAGGCCAACACTAAACTCCTGATATATGGTCTATAGTGAAAACTAGAGCTAGAACCAAACTGTTATGTATAATGTAAACTTAGGTACCCCAGCTTTAAGCCCGTGGAGCAGATAGTGCACACCAGAGCTCTTGTCTCGGTGCATGTGATACGGTGGTAAACTTGCAGAAATTCATACGTTTAATTTGAACCCTTTTTGCGTGTAGCTGAGCCAAATATACAGAAGACGTTAGATCTAGACCCTGCTTCCTGTGAATGTATTTTTCCTCGCACACATTTTCTTCACAAACTGTGGCTTTATCAATGTTGAACTAGGACTTATATTAAAACAGGTGTCCTTCCACCAACACTGATGATTTCACTGACTTTCAAGACCCACAGAATATTGTGTGCTATGACTATGTGAGTTATGAAACCAGATTCTGAAAGACTGGACTGTCTACTTTCATCAGCAAAAATATGTTTGTTTCTATCTATTTTTGTTCTTCTGAAATCCCCAGTGGAACAGAGGGAAGTTTGACAGAAATCACCGGTCTCAAATACGTCAACGGCAGTCACTGAGTTAAACAAATCCAAATAGTGCGAGGGAGGAGTTTATATGAGTTCACACAGATATGACCCTCACCCATTGTTTAAGGTGAAGAGTTGGCAGTTGAAGTCCCCGATGCAGATGTCTTGGCAAGCCTAGGGGTTCTTCACATCTTTAATGTGTTTCAAATGTTTTGATAAGAAGATCTTATATTCTGTGTCAGCATGGATCACGGAGAGCCAGGCTGAAGAAAAGAAACCCCACATGACAGGTTAAACACAAATATAAAGCAGAAATATTAAGATCTGTTTCAGGTGGAAATCCCACCTCAAAAATATCTATGTAATAAAACCTTTGGTTGTGTTGGACTGCTACAGTTTGTGAGAGACACTTCCCAAACAGCGCTTCTGTTTGTGTTGTGTTTGTGGACAGTGTTCTGTGTCTTACTCGTGTCCTGTTGGCAGTGGCGTGAGGGCAGTCCAGATCTGTCTCTTCGGTCGAATTTGGTCACAATCTCCTTCAGATTTTTCTTGAGTTCACAATTGCGCCTTCAAAAAAATAAAGCATAATTTCTAAACAATGTCTACAGTTGTGCTCACAAAATATGATTTGGAGGTCGTTGTTTTGTTCTTTTTTCTGTTGAAATGAGGTGATGCATCTGGAGAACATCTTCATGCAGAATGTTTCATTAAAAATACTTTTTAAACACATTTTTATTTCATTCTGCAGTGATCATTATAGAACTGGATAAAAGAACCAATAGATTAAATGTATAGGGCCTGGTGCTCTGTGGTCTGGGTGCAGCTCTGACTACCACCCCCCGACCCAGAAATGGATTAAGGGGAAGAAAATGGAAGAATGGACATTAAAGGTACATAGGAGGATCAACAAGACTATTGGTCCTCCCAACTGTCAATCATTCTGGTTCTACTCTCGTCAAACAAAACCAGAGATGTTTTTGAAAGTGGGGAGGGCAGCTCTGTCCTAAATTCCTGTTTCAGAATATCCTATAAACTTTAAATACAAGATTTATTATTATTTTAAACCTTTTTTTACGTAACCATTAGGATGATGTTTTTTACTGTTAAAGTCAAAGAAAACATTGGTTCCCCACTTCTTCCCTATTTGACATCGTTGACAGTTTGAAAGAGTAATAAAAGCCGTGTGTGGTCTTACCCGTCGAAGGTGAAGTGGGTGCATTGTGGGTAAGATGCACACAACGCAGAGCACTGTTCAAAATAATTATCCAATAAGTGGTCAAATATTTCCCCAAGAATCACTGCTTTTTCAAAAACCTTAGTCTCACAAGCTGTAGAACACAAGACAGAATGTAGACATGATCGATATGTCGCGTCACGGATTTGAACAAATGTAGGTTTTGTGTAATTCACCTCAAACAAAATACTGGTTCGTGGACACTTGTACTTTTTGTGAAAATCCTGAGAAATAGCCAAGTTTTCTGCTTAATGTTGGCTGCGGAACAGTCACAGTGAAACCGAGTGAGCAGTCGTATCTGAAAACACAACGGTCATAGATTATTATTATCGATAAAGTTTATTACAAAACAGGATATCGTTATGATTTAAATGCCTCGTGTGACTGTCTCTGTCTTATTTTGTTTGTGTATGAATGGTGCTATACAAATAAACTTGCCTGGCCTAAAACACACAGACAGAAGGAGAGGCCCCTTCAGGTCCTGTAATTCCAGTGGCCCCCACACTCAGACTTTGATGCTCATAGTTTGTGCTTTGTGCCGTGGTCTTTTAACAAACTTCTTGAGCTTCCAAATGCTCGGTTGTTTATATCAGGGCTATCAAATTAAAATTAAATATAAATTCCAAATGAAGCTGGTCTGTGTATGAGGAGGGGGCAGGCCGGGGGCTGAGGTCTCCTATAGACATGTGTGAAGAATGTGGAAGACGCCAATCTGAGAAGAAGCGAGTTGGAGACAGTTTTCCAATTGGAGCATTTGTTCCGACATCGTTGGCTTCACTTTAAAACTGATTTCATCAGATTTTTGCTTGTTTTATTCTAGTTAGGACTGATGTGTCTGACAAATATTTAGGTTAACACAACCAAAATATACATGGTTGCAAACAATCTGAATAGTTCAGAATATCAATGGGAGAGAGTCACTCTTTGATTGAGTTCTCTCTTTTCAGGTTCTAAACATTCGGTGGAGGTCAATAGTAGATGCTTGTGGAAATTAGTGAGAGAAACATATTTCTATGTTTTAAAAACAAACCTAATGGTCGAAGGAAATAATAAACAGGGCAAAGTTAGATACTCCAGCTTTAATTGTAGAAATCTGCATTCTCTGAATGTTCCAAATGAAAGGTATTTTGCTGATTTTACTGAGGTCCCACCTCTCTCTCCACAGGCCTTTAAGATCAGACTTTATTGATCTCACACTGATCTCACTTGTTCTCAGCGGCCCTGATGGCTTCCATTTGGTTGCTCTTCCATTATTTTCCGAAATCAGAAAGAACCAATGTTAGCTGCAAACCGGCTTCATGAACAGACTAACTGTGAAAGTGCTGCTGGAACAGATACTGATCCTCATTTTGTCTCCTTTGGTCGACCTCCTCAAAATAAATTCATTAGTTTCCCACTTGAACTCCAAGGGTTTTTAACTGGGAATAGAGTAGATGTATACCTTTTCTCCTTTGGTTCAAACTTCTCATTCTTCCAGGTGAAGTACTGGCAGTTGGGGTCGTGTGTGCAGGCTCTCTGACACTCTTTGTAATTTGGGGTGAACAGAGATCGGTACTGGCCCCCGGGGGCATTCCTTCCCCCGTAGAAAAGCACATCTGTGTAGACCTTTGCCCGATTGAACTCTGGTGGGATCACAAAGTTTGCAACAGATGTTCAAGTCTAGTTGCTGAAATCAATATTAAGAACAATGCAACAGCACCTTGTGCAATCCTCGGATCAAATGAGGCCACAGCGGGCTCGATTTTCATGAATTGTCCAAACTTGACCCGCCCTGGGTCATTTAGACCCTTTTAGACCAAAATTTAGGGTATTTTTCTTCTACTTTTATTCAATTGTGGCGGGTCATTTTGACCCAATAGAAACAGAAACCAGCTTGAATGGTGGGGTAAAGTAACTGGTCTTCCTCAGACCAACTGGGACTCCCACTCCGCTTCATCCGTTGCCGGGTCGCGGGGGCAGCAGTCTGAGCAGAGACGCCCAGACCTCCCTCTCACACACTTCCTCCAGCTCGTCCGGGGGGACCCCAAGGCGTTCCCAGGCCAGCTGAGAGACATAGTCCCTCGGTGTCCTGGGTCTTCCCCGGGGCCTCCTCCTCCCGTTGGGTTCTCCCCAGGGAGGGATCCAGGGGGCATCTGGAACAGATGAGCCACCTTCACTGGTTCTTCTTGACGCAATCTCGTTCTTTCGGTCATTACCCAAAGCTCATGACCATAGGTGAGGGAGGGAACGAAGATTGACCGGTAAATCAGGAGCTTTGCCTTTTGGCTCTGCTTCCTCCTCACCACAACGGTCGGATACAGCTCTGACTGCAGACGCTGCTCCCTCTTTACCACAACGGTCCAATGCAGCTCTGACTGCAGACGCTGCTCCCTCTTTACCACAACGGTCGGATACAGCTCTGACTGCAGACGCTGCTCCCTCTTCACCACAACGGTCCGATACAGCTCTGACTGCAGACGCTGCTCCCTCTTTACCACAACGGTCTGATACAGCTCTGACTGCAGACGCTGCTCCCTCTTCACCACAACGGTCTGATACAGCTCTGACTGCAGACGCTGCTCCCTCTTTACCACAACGGTCTGATACAGCTCTGATACAGCTCTGACTGCAGACGCTGCTCCCTCTTCACCACAACGGTCTGATACAGCTCTGACTGCAGACGCTGCTCCCTCTTTACCACAACGGTCGGATACAGCTCTGACTGCAGACGCTGCTCCCTCTTTACCACAACGGTCTGATACAGCTCTGACTGCAGACGCTGCTCCCTCTTTACCACAACGGTCGGAAACAGCTCTGACTGCAGACGCTGCTCCCTCTTCACCACTACAGAGACTGCATCACTGCGCACGCTGCACAGATCCTCCTTCAGTCTCACGCCTAATCCTTCTCTCACTGAGAACAAGACCCTGAGATCCTTGAACTTGAGGAAGGACCTCCCCACCCACTTGTGCCTGTACCTAAAACTCACTAACTAAAAAACACAACTTTTGGAGAGTCAAAGACAAGTGGAAATCACGATAACATGGTCAAAAGCTAAGAAAAGTCTGACCTGGTTTGGCTGCACAGGATTTGAGAGAATACCCCGAGGTGACTGCGGCAAAAGGTTTTGTAGAAGTGGGTTCTCCAATGTAAGAGTTTGAGTTGGACTGCATCATGTAACACCCAAAGGTTCTGTGGAAGAGAAACGCACAGTGGGCCTTTGTGGGCATGGATTGGTTAGCACTCCCGCTTCTCAGCAAGAAGGTCCTGGGTTCAAATCCCAGTCGGAACAGGGCCTTTCTGAGTGGAGCCTCTGTCAGAACATCTGTCAGAACATCTGTCAGAACATCTGTCAGAACATCTGTCAGAACATCTGATCACAGGGCTGTAGAACTTGATGTCGAACATAGGTATCTACAACTAGATTTTGATTCAATCGCAGTGAATTGTGCGTTCCTAGTTTACACTGTACCCCACACAGAGAGGCCCTTGTCGGCAGGGGACTTGAACCTTCTTACTGAGGCACGAGCGCAACACACTCATCCACTGCGTCTTTAATACTAAACAAACAACAAAACGCCAATTGTGGATCGCTCGAGCAAAAATAACCAAACTTATAATTGATTTGAATGGGATACTTGCACTCTGTTCGTTTGTTTTCCGTAGTAGGAGAAGAACTGGCACTCGGCGTGCTCCGTGCACAGCTGCTGACAGTGCTCGCCGTCTGCAGCATACCTCATGCAAACAAACTTTCCGTCAAATTCCACGTCCTTCTGGAGCTCTTTAACACATCCTGCAAACACAGTACATAGTTCAGAGTTCATACAGTGGGTTAAATGGTGTAATCTCTCTTAAGGAATTATAATATTTTGGGGCAGATTATGCACCATTGCTTTTTAGAGCTGAGATGGAGATCAGACTAAATCTACCTGTGGACGATGACGGGACATTGTGTTCTTCAAAAACAAAACCAGACAACACTAAACACCTCACAGACTTTACTCCATGAAGTATAAGACGAACCTGCACCTGTCGGGATGGCTCTGTTGAGAGCTGTTGTTGAGACAGAAAAACACATTTTACCTCCACACGGTTGGGCAGCGTACAGGAGTCGCTCAAGTTCAATCAACCCAGATGTTTATTGCAATATGAACAACACAAATCCATCAAAGACTAACCCTAACCCTGCCCAGATATGAAGCAACTCATTCAACAGATTCATAATAAAGGGTTCTCCCGGTGGGCTTTATATCACCAGTCTGAGTCTGAGAAAGGTCATGTTTAGTTTCTGGGACTGACGTGTTGACAACTGAACAACATTCAAAAGAACACGGATATTTGTCCCCAGCATTATCCAGGACAGACCTGGGCAGAATAAGACCCAGGCCCAGCATTATCCAGGACAGACCTGGGCAGAATAAGACCCAGGCCCAGCATTATCCAGGACAGACCTGGGCAGAATAAGACCCAGGCCCAGCATTATCCAGGACAGACCTGGGCAGAATAAGACCCAGGCCCAGCATTATCCAGGACAGACCTGGGCAGAATAAGACCCAGGCCCAGCATTATCCAGGACAGACCTGGGCAGAATAAGACCCAGGCCTCAGCATTTTACAGAAAGAACAGACTGTTGTGGCGCTGCATTCGTGAGAAAGAAAGATCCTGTCAGACCTCTGAAGATAAACAGGGCAAGGCCTGGTTAGTACTGTGATGGGAGACCTTTTGGCAAGACACTTGAGTGTCCTTCAGCCACATCACAGGGTTGATACTTGCCTTTGGGCTTCGGTGGCGGTGGTCGTGTCTTAGGTTGCACCATGGACCAGCCTAAAGAACAAACATTAAACCATTTCTATATTACACCAAAAAGACATTGTGCAAAAGCAGCTATTTCTGTATGAAATATATAAAGATTAAATATTCTAATAATCTAGTGCAGGCGTGTCAAACTCAGGCCTCTGGGCCAAATCCGGCCCGCGAGGCCATTTCTAGAGGCCCCAAAAAGACTCTCAGTCTTGATGGTTATGGGCTACTATGGCATTTTTGTTATAGCATCTAGATAAATAGATAATTCATTGATCCCCGTGGGAGGTGTCCAGTGGCATAAATAATAATACACTTATTATAGTGTCATGGCATTTAATCATTTCCTTTTGGGAAACAAAAAGAAAATGGAATTTGTTCGAAAAGGTGGAAGTGAAATGTAAATAGAAGTTTTTTTTATATTTAACTCTCAGTCTTCCAACACATACTTGATATTTGGCCCAGTGGTGGTTAAATACAGTTAATATTAAATATGTAAAAAATATGATACAAAGAAAACCACTTCTGGCCCGAACCTAAATGTGTTTGACTTTGGCCCCGACCTAAATGAGCTTCGATCCAGAGGCCGATCTGGTTCGAAGAGAAACTCTTCAATAGAAATGAGACAAACTAAAGCTGAGGTACCAAAGTTTAAAAACAGTTTGGTTCTTTCACTAGTCTCCATTCATCATTAAATCAGCCGATTCGGACAAAAAAATGAAAACTGGAGGAAAAAGACGCCCAAAGAGTCCAATAGTGACTCACAGAGATCTTTCCAGACAAAGACGTCGTGTTGTGTCTGATCTGAACATTCTCTACTTTTCAAAACTCTCTCTGATGTGATTAAGAAAATGTGTTATTATAAAACAGAAAAGTTAGGTATCCATCTATCCATCCATCCATCTGGATGTATCTGTTACTACAAACTTCTAGTAACAGATACATCCTCATTAATCATAATTATTGTAGCAGATAAAAGTGAGATAGTGTGAAGCCATTTCGACAGTGTGCGTTATTACCGTGGATGGAGGCGAGGCAGCCCAGGAAGAGCAGGAGCAGGAGCAGAGATGGACCTGTCATCGTGAGTCTGTCAGTCCTCCTCAGTCTGTGTTCTTTATACAGTCTGAGTCTGAGAAAGGTCATGTTTAGTTTCAGGGACTGACCTGTTGACAACTGAACAACATCCAAAAGAACACGGATATTTGTCCCCAGCATTATCCAGGACAGACCTGGGCAGAATAAGACCCAGGCCCAGCATTATCCAGGACAGACCAGGGCAGAATAAGACCCAGGCCCAGCATTATCCAGGACAGACCAGGGCAGAATAAGACCCAGGCCCAGCATTATCCAGGACAGACCAGGGCAGAATAAGACCCAGGCCCAGCATTATCCAGGACAGACCTGGGCAGAATAAGACCCAGGCCCAGCATTATCCAGGACAGACCAGGGCAGAATAAGACCCAGGCCCAGCATTATACAGGACAGACCAGGGCAGAATAAGACCCAGGCCCAGCATTATCCAGGACAGACCAGGGCAGAATAAGACCCAGGCCCAGCATTATCCAGGACAGACCAGGGCAGAATAAGACCCACAGATCCGTCTGACACTTCTACCAGTCACTTTACTGTTATTAACACTGATGTTTATTCTCCGCTGCTAAAGTACAATACACACATCTGTAAATACTTCTGAATCAAGTGCAATTATAGCTCCAGAGTTTATTTTATTCTATTCTATTTTACTTATTTGAATTCTATTATTTATGATCTTAAATAATAGCCTCTAATGTGTGCGTCTGAGTTCTTCTTCCTCCTGTCTCTGCTGTTGTGTACGACTGTCAGACTGAAGAAGGAATATCTTTTCTTAAGGCAAGGCAAAATAACGCCATAACCATTTTTATTCACTTTGTATTTCACCAAAAGTTCAATAAAATGTCTTTTTGTTCGTCGTCATAGCAACAAAAGAAAAGTGTGAAGACATTTTGTGTTTGTTTGAGTTCGGCCGTCACATGTTTTTGATCTGTACTTTCTGTTCTAGATCCGAGCGTAAACTTCTGACAGGTCTGGAACAACGTGTGACATCACAACAGGAAAGAGTCACATCTGGACTGTTGACAAGACAGAGCACGGTTTATTTATCTGGCACAGTTCTGCTTTACAGCACATTAAGTCACACACAACCGCATTCTCAGAAAGCACGCACACAAAAGGACACACACATACAACCCCATTCCCTCTGCAAATGTATTGTAGTATGTTATGTTCCCCTTGGCTCACGGGGAGGCAACAAAAAGGAGGACACGGCAAAGACTTTTGATGGCTCACTGGCCGTTTTATTTAAACAATAATCTGGAATCAGTGTAAATGGTCTGTGTGTGTGTGTGTGTGTGTGTGTGTGTGTGTGCACTTGTTTTCAACTCCTGGTGGGTTCCATAACCTGAGATTCCACTCACGTCATGGGGACTGGTTTTACGTGGTGGGGCCCGAACACCGGACCCCACTGGTCCAAGCTTAATAATCAATGGGTAATGCTTTTCTAACGGTCCTTATGCAGTCTCTGTAAAAATATGGAAAGGACCCCTGGAGGTTTACTTTCCTGAAAAAAGTGTGTTATGTGTCGGAACCCTGGTGGTGGGTTGCGGGATATCAAGGAGGGGCACACTGGGGCAATTTCAGTCCAGCAGGCTGGAGCCAATCATGGAGCAGCACAACAGAGGAAATCAGGTGTCAGGCTAGAAAAAGGTGCAAGTGTGTGGTTCATTAGGCTGCAAGAAATCATGGAGGAGCACACTGAAGCGCACGCTTACAAACCACTGGTAAGTGCTGACTACAAGTCATGACTTCAAATTGTTATATAGAATGATTACAAATTATTTGTTGTTTGTGCAGCTTAGTCAAGAGTCCCTAATTGATGAAGTCGACTCAGATTCTGACGATTTAACTGTCAAGAAGAAACCTGTAAAAAAGTATGGAAAAAGAAAAATCAAAAACACTTTTCTTCAAGACTCGGAAAGTGACGAACCAAAGGCAAATAAGATTGTTATCATGCAGCTGCAAAAGAAGAAAAATGGGGGGCGAGTATACAGCAAGAGACACTTCTGCCTCTACTGTTCAATGTCCTGCCACAAAATGTCCCGTCATTTGACTAGAAAACATGGAAATGAAAGTGACGTAGCCAGAGCATTGGCTCTACCTGTGAAATCTAAAGCACGTAAACTTCAGTTTGATTTGATCAGGAATAGTGGAAACCGTGAGTAGCCTAACTGTTACTAGCCTAACTGTTACTAGCCTAACTGTTACTAGCCTAACTGTTACTAGCCTAACTGTTACTAGCCTAACTGTTACTAGCCTAACTGTTACTAGCCTAACTGTTACTAGCCTAACTGTTACTAGCCTAACTGTTACTAGCCTAACTGTTACTAGCCTAACTGTTACTAGCCTAACTGTTACTAGCCTAACTGTTACTAGCCTAACTGTTACTAGCCTAACTGTTACTAGCCTAACTGTTACTAGCCTAACTGTTACTAGCCTAACTGTTACTAGCCTAACTGTTACTAGCCTAACTGTTACTAGCCTAACTGTTACTAGCCTAACTGTTACTAGCCTAACTGTTACTAGCCTAACTGTTACTAGCCTAACTGTTACTAGCCTAACTGTTACTAGCCTAACTGTTACTAGCCTAACTACTAGCCTAACTGTTACTAGCCTAACTGTTACTAGCCTAACTGTTACTAGCCTAACTGTTACTAGCCTAACTGTTACTAGCCTAACTGTTACTAGCCTAACTGTTAACTAGCCTAACTGTTACTAGGCCTAACTGTTACTAGCCTAACTGTTACTAGCCTAACTGTTACTAGCCTAACTGTTACTAGCCTAACTGTTACTAGCCTAACTGTACTAGCCTAACTGTTACTAGCCTAACTGTTTATAGCCTAACTGTTACTAGCCTAACTGTTACTAGCCTAACTGTTACTAGCCTAACTGTTACTAGCCTAACTGTTACTAGCCTAACTGTTACTAGCCTAACTGTTACTAGCCTAACTGTTACTAGCCTAACTGTTACTAGCCCTAACTGTTACTAGCCTAACTGTTACTAGCCTAACTGTTACTAGCCTAACTGTTACTAGCCTAACTGTTACTAGCCTAACTGTAGCCTACTAGCCTAACTGTTACTAGCCTAACTGTTACTAGCCTAACTGTTACTAGCCTAACTGTTACTAGCCTAACTGTTACTAGCCTAACTGTTACTAGCCTAACTGTTACTAGCCTAACTGTTACTAGCCTAACTGTTACTAGCCTAGCTGTTACTAGCCTAACTGTTACTAGCCTAACTGTTACTAGCCTAACTGTTACTAGCCTAACTGTTACTAGCCTAACTGTTACTAGCCTAACTGTTACTAGCCTAACTGTTACTAGCCTAACTGTTACTAGCCTAACTGTTACTAGCCTAACTGTTACTAGCCTAACTGTTACTAGCCTAACTGTTACTAGCCTAACTGTTACTAGCCTAACTGTTACTAGCCTAACTGTTACTAGCCTAGCACTGTTACTAGCCTAACTGTTACTAGCCTAACTGTTACTAGCCTAACTGTTACTAGCCAAACTGTTACTTAGCCTAACTGTTACTAGCCTAACTGTTACTAGCCTAACTGTTACTAGCCTTTAACTGTTACTAGCCTAACTGTTACTAGCCTAACTGTTACCTAGCCTAACTGTTACTAGCCTAACTGTTACTAGCCTAACTGTTACTAGCCTAACTGTTACTAGCCTAACTGATACTAGCCTAACTGTTACTAGCCTAACTGTTTACTAGCCTAACTGTTACTAGCCTAACTGGTTACTAGCCTAACTGTTACTAGCCTAACTGTTACTAGCCTAACTGTTACTAGCCTAACAGTTACTAGCCTAACTGTTACTAGCCTAACTGTTACTAGCCTAACAGTTACTAGCCTAACTGTTACTAGCCTAACTGTTACTAGCCTAACTGTTACTAGCCTAAACTGTTACTAGCCTAACTGTTACTAGCCTAACTGTTACTAGCCTAACTGTTACTAGCCTAACTGTTACTAGCCTAACTGTTACTAGCCTAACTGTTACTAGCCTAACTGTTACTAGCCTAACTGTTACTAGCCTAACTGTTACTAGCCTAACTGTTACTAGCCTAACTGTTACTAGCCTAACTGTTACTAGCCTAACTGTTACTAGCCTAACTGTTATCTAGCCTAACTGTTACGAGCCTAACAACTGTTACTAGCCTAACTGTCACTAGCCTAACTGTCACTAGCCTAACTGTTACTAGCCTAACTGTTACTAGCCTAACTGTTACTAGCCTAACTGTAACTAGCCTAGCTGTTACTAGCCTAACTGTAACTAGCCTAACTGTTACTAGCCTAACTGTTGCTAGCCTAACTGTTACTAGCCTAACTGTAACTAGCCTAACTGTTACTAGCCTAACTGTTACTAGCCCTAACTGTTACTAGCCTAACTGTTACTAGCCTAACTGTTACTAGCCTAACTGTTACTAGCCTAACTGTTACTAGCCTAGCTGTTACTAGCCTAACTGTTACTAGCCTAACTGTCACTAGCCTAACTGTTACTAGCCTAACTGTTACTAGCCTAACTGTTACTAGCCTAACTGTTACTAGCCTAACTGTTACTAGCCTAACTGTTACTAGCCTAACTGTTACTAGCCTAACTGTTACTAGCCTAACTGTTACTAGCCTAGCTGTTACTAGCCTAACTGTTACTAGCCTAACTGTTACTAGCCTAGCTGTCACTGGCCTAACTGTTACTAGCCTAACTGTTACTAGCCTAACTGTTACTAGCCTAGCTGTTGCTAGCCTAACTGTTACTAGCCTAACTGTTACTAGCCTAACTGTTACTAGCCTACCTGTTACTAGCCTAACTGTTACTAGCCTACCTGTTACTAGCCTAACTGTTGCTAGCCTAACTGTTACTAGCCTAACTGTTACTAGCCTAGCTGTTACTAGCCTAACTGTTACTAGCCTAACTGTTACTAGCCTAACTGTTGCTAGCCTAACTGTTACTAGCCTAACTGTTACTAGCCTAACTGTTACTAG